ACTTAGACCCCTAGCAAAAAATATAATTTTAGCTGCTTCTTGGGGTTTATAGTAACCAAAGATTAAAAATTATTTCGAAGTACCCCTAAGGTTTAGGGTTCCTTGATGGAGCCCATGAAAGGAACACTGGCATCGCTCCTTCATGAGGAGATGCCCTACCTCGAGGATGGCTGAGATCACATGGGTCTCCTTTTCAGGCTCAGTGGAGGGATCACCCCGTTCCTTAAAAGGGATGTGAACGGCCTAGGGGCTTAGGGCTTAAGATGGTTTAAGGTTTTTGGGTTTAGTGTGCTTAAGTTTTTAGGATATACGGTTCAGGTTTTTGGGGGTGCGGAGATGTTTTTAAGCTTTGCTCTACAGGTTCCGTTGAGGAAAACTACCCTATGAGGGTCCACTTGGCAAGGTGTACAGTCTACAAGGGTTTCAATAAGAACTTAACCACAGAGGGCTTGATAAGTAGAGCAGGATGGTGGGTGTGTATTATACTATACGGATGACAAGGGAACATTAGAGTGACTAACGGCTCAATCCTCAAAGTTGATAGAGGTACCCCCAGCAAAAAAGATGCCCCATTCTTACAGGGTTTGAATGTTGACAGCTCGGGTATGGGATTGTGAAGCCCTCACGCACTTGAGCCCAAAGCCCAACAAAAATGGCCCACGCAGGAAACCCGAAAGCCCTGAATGCTACCTCTAAGACCGCAACCCCATGCCCCGGGACACATTACCACTAATTAAGCAAAATGTATTAGTGCGCATATGGTGTAAATTGCATAACCAATAGCATGGGCGACTCACATACGAAGCAGCATACTTGATTGAAGCTTTCGACACACAATAATATCTCCGCATGTACTTATACATCCATAGTTTGACGCGCAGGGCCTTCCTGTCCACGTGCATGTGCCTCGCAAGTGCCGCTAGTGGCGACGAGTTGTTGGGGATAAACCCAACCCTAAACCCGAAGTCTTAACCGTTTTATAGACTTTGGAGTTTTCGGTTTTGGTGTTTGGGTCAACAGGGCTAGGGGCCTCCTCAACAGCATATAATATGCATCTACAAACTTACAAGGAGTAAGCGTGCCCATAAACCGAAAGGTGGAGCGAAGACTTGATTTCTTGATTTCCACCCCAGACCTGCCATAGATACAGGGTGCAACCCCGAAAAAAAGCTACGAGTACTGTGATGATTAGACCCCTAAACCCTAAACCCTAAACCCTAAACCCTAAACCCTAAAAACACACTACTGTGGTGCTTAGATCCACAGTTCTGCGTTGCAAGAAATACAAGTACGAGGCACCCAAAACGGAAGGCATTAGTGAACTTTAGGATGGCTGGGGGAGCCTTTGCAGGTGGGTCGTTGTGGTGTTGCGGGCGCTTCGAAGCTATGTTGGAAGTTGTGGGGTACAGGATTTAGGGTTTCGGGATACTTGTGGAGCCCTTATATTAGAACTTGAGGTGCCCCCACAGCCTGATGGTGACCCTTTTCATATCGACTTATAGAATTCTTGCAATTGTTTCGCTTCGGAACTTGCTGGGGTTTTGAAGGCGTCGTCAGTGTGTTAGGTGCAGGTGCGGGCCGAGGGATATAGAACCCTGAACCCTACTTGCAGGTTCACAGGTAGTTACAAGTGGGCTTAAAAGTCCCCTGATATGGGTTATTCCTACCAAACCCTACGTATGACCCTACTTTTTTCAATCTCCTAAACCCTAAACCCCTAAACGCCTAAAAAACCCTAAACGCCTAAACCCCTAAACCCTAAAAACCCTACTACCCTACACGCTAAAGGCCTGAAGCCCTGAGCCCTAAACCCCTAAACCCCTGAACCCCTAAACCCTCAAGCCCTAAACCCTAAAACCCTAAGCCCTAAATCCCTGATACCCTAAACCCCTAATACCCGAACCCCCTAAACCCCTAAACCCTAAATCCCTAAACCCCTAAACTCCTAACCCCCGAACCCCCTAAACCACTAAACTCCTAAACCCCTAATACCCTCAACCCCTAAACGGCAAAATCCAAAAAGCCGAAGCCCAGGAGACCCAGAGCCGAGATCCTCCGAAGCCTTAAAATAGGGCTTTAGGGTTTAGGGTTTAGGGGTTTAGGGTTTAGGGTTTAGGGTTCAGGGTTCAGGGTTTAGGGTTTCGGGAAACCCATAGGCTCCATTGATAGTTCCTTCTTTGGGGGTTTAGGGGTTTAGGGGTTAGGGTATCGGGGTTTTGGGCGTTGTGGGGGTTTCGGGGTTTAGGGTTTAGGGGTTTAACGGTTGAGGGTTTAGGCGATTAGCGGTTTAGGGGTTTAGGGGTTAGGGGTTTAGGGGTTTAGGGGTTTAGGATTTAGAGGTTTTGGGGTTTAGGGTTTAGGGGCTTAGGGTTTAGGGGTTTTAACGGGTTAGGGTTTAGGGGTTTAGGGGTTTAGGGTTTAGGGGTTTAACGGTTTAGGGTTTAGGGGTTTAACGGTTTAGGGTTTAAGGGTTTAGGGGTTTAGGGGTTTAGGGCTAGGGTTTACTGTACAGGATCTTAAATATAAACCACAAAAAGGAACTACCATGGAGCCTATGGGGAAAAGAACTACAATGGAGCCCTTTCGAGCTTAGGGTTTAGCCTCGTAGGATTCAAGAGTTTAAGGTTCTAGTTCCAGGCGTTCAGGACTGTTCGGGTTAATGTAGGGGCCTTAATGATTAGAACAGGCTTCTGGGGTCCTTCATAGTATAATCATAATAAGGAGCCCCCCCCTCCCCCCCCCCCCAAAAAAAAACATAATAATAATATAGGTCATTATTGAGGTTAGTGTCCAGGGTCTCAGGTTCCAGGGTCTCAGGTTCCATAGAGTAGAGAGTGAAGTTTTCCGATGGGACCTGTAGTATAGACTAGAGAGAGCTGAAAGTCTCACACAAGTTAAAGCTAGGAAAGCAAACAGGGCCTCTTTCAAATTGAGCCAGAACCGGTACCCAGACCCCTTAACTCAAAGTCTTGTGGTAGGACCCTTCCGAACCTCCTTGGAGCCCCTTAAAGAACCAGGAGCAATTTGGGTCTACTGCTGCCAAAGCGACAGGATGGAGCCATTATGGTAAAGTCGCAGACCTGCAGTTTTGGTGTGGGGGGGTTTAGGGTCTTAAGGTATTAGGGTTTAGGGTCTCGGTTTTTTAGGGCATTAGCGTTTAGGCTTTAGGGTCTAGGGTACTAGGGTTTAGAGTTTGCTGGCTGCCCTTCAGGGTGCCTAAAGTGGTTCCTCCAAGGTTCTGGCGGGTTCGTTAAGCAATCCATAAGGGCATTATCGAGAGGGCAGCATACAGGATCTACAAGGGTTCTTTCAAGTATGCGCTGTATGTGTGTATGTGTATAAATAAATAAATAAACAAATAAATAAATAAATATATATATATATATATATATATTTATTTATATTTATTTATTTATATTATATTAAGGCCTTATCAGAAAACCAAAAACGCCTCTCAAACCCTATAAGACACTGACAAAACCCTGTACAGACACCCAAAACAAGTCGGTCATGGTTCCCCATTCCCCCTCGTGACAAGGCTAAACATGATATTCAGATGTGTTGGCCAAGGAGAAAACTAAAAGGCAAAAGGGTGCTACCTTCGAGGCCCTCTTCTAAACGAGCAGTGTAGACGCTTTGATTGACAAGCCCACTGTTAAAAAAAAGCAGGAGATCCTCATAGTAAACCCCTAAGGCCGTATCCTAGACCCGAAACCCTAAACCCATAAACTCTGAACCCTTAACCCTTAAACCCAACCAAAAGGGTACCACCGGGACAGCGGGGTCATCGCCGGAGAAATCTGAGCCGAAGACCGTAGATCGCGGTCTTCTCGAGGTCCTGCCAGGGCGATCCTTGAGGGTCAAATTACCTGCAGGTTCATGGGTAGTTATATAAGTCAGGTTATAAGCAGTGTAACTATAGTTATAGCCCATGTTAGGGGTCTTATAGCTCCATTTAGCGTAACTGTAGGTATAACCCATATACTTGGGGACTCATAACTCCATTTACAACTACCCAAAAGAACCTCCAAGTAGTATATACACGGGTTGAGCAACTAGAGTAGGGAGGAGCCGTTAAGGCATCCTTTGAGGCTTCTTGGCTTGGACAAACCGGTTCTATCAGGGCTTAGGGTTTAGGGCTTCGGGTTTAGGGTTTAGGGCATAAGGGCTTAGGGTTTAGGGCTTAGGGTTTGATGCAGATACTGTACGGGCCTTAATAATTAGATTAGGGTTTGGGGGTATATTCTGGTATAGTTATAATTAAGGAACCCCCCCAAAAAAAACAAAATAGTATAGGTAATTATTTGGGCCCCTATATTGGTATCGTAGGGGCCTTTGTGATTCGGATACGGTCTGGGGTGCATTCAAACAGTATATATACTTATACTTCTAGCCGGAGCCCTCAGGAATAGTACTGGCGATTCATGGCAATTACTTAGGCTTCTATAGTAGTTGTTTGAAGTTTTGGGTTGTGGTTTTGGGGTCAGAGCCCTAATACAGTAGACTCCAGTATAGTTCGTAGCCTATGGGTACACTTGGATTCTTTCAAGATGTTGAGGCTTTTGGGCTGAGGCTTAGCGGGTTCGTTTCAGGGCTCCGCCAAGGAGCGTCTCTAACAGGCCGGTACAAGAGTCGATCTTGGGTTTTGGTTTGGGGATTTGGGATTCATGGTTTGGGTCCGGGTGTAGGGCTTGGGGCTTATGCGTGCTGCTTACATCCTCAGTTTCATACGGAGACTGAATCTTCGATCATCTGAAATCAGCAATCCTGTCTTCTGACGGTGATGATGACGGAAAGAACGGCTGTGTCGTGTCGGTGTTTGTGGTTCGATTTCCACTTGCCTTCATTCTTCCCGTGGTATTCTTGTGACTCTCGTTTCCTGACTTGTCGGAAATTGCTACAGTCGTGGTCGTCGTGATTGGGGTCGCAGTGGTGTCTGCGGCTGCAGTAGTTGCAGTACTAGTATCAAAGCCAACCAAACGACAACACATCAGAGACAACGACAACAACGACAACGAACTAAACCCTGAACCCTAAACCCTCAACCCTAAAACACGAACAGCGATGCACACACCGCAGGGCACCTCTTCGTTGTGGCCAGTCCAGCTCGCCAGAATCGGGCGCAGGGTGTTCGTCAACCTCTTCCTGAGACTGCACCCCTAATATGTGATATTCCGGCATCAATAGCGTTTAGGGTTGCTGGTTGGGTTAGGGCTTAGGGCCTGAGGGTTCAGGGTTTAGGTTTTACGGTTCTAGAAGAAACTCGCGGTGCTTTTGTGCACCTCAGTTTCGGTCGTTGTATTGCTGGCACTAGTCGGTGTTAGAACGTCTGGCGCAATGCAGGCGATTATGCAAGGATCCACAGAAGCTGAGTGAGCCATGCGCCAAAAAGTGCCTTTAATTCTTCATAATGTAGGGGCCTCAACAATTAGAATAGGGTTTCGGGGCTTCCTTATACATTATAATTATAGTAGAATACACCCCAAAACCCTTGTCAGCTCTTGCCCCGAAGCCCTAAACCCACAGCCAAACACGGTTTGGGGCTTATGACGAGTTATTGGCTTGTGGTTGTGGTTTAGGGCTACTCCTACTTGGATGTTCATGGTAATAAGTGGGGTTATAAGTCAACTAGTACGGGTTATCACTACAGCTACTTTACTTATATTCCCACGCATAACTACCCATGCACCTCTAAGTAAAAGCCCAAACCGCATAACCCTAAACCCTGAACCCTAAACCCCTGAACCCTAAACCTTTTAGGGCTACTCCTAAATTACAGTAGCAGCTCCACCGGCTGGCAAACTTTAGTTCTCTGCGGCCCTCGGAGATGAAAAATCCCCTGTGGATGACACAGAGGACCGGAATTGAGGAACCCAGTCACATCCCGAACCATAATGTAGGAGCCTGAAGAATGAGACCAGGATTTTGGGTGGGTGTTTTCTACTATTCTGATTATGGAAGGAACCCAATCCCCCTAATAACACAACAATGCCCATACCTTGGGAACTTCTTAACCACACGTCCTTGACCCGTCGAGCGCAAGGAATGGGAAAGACTCTAAATTCGATAGCCAAACGCGGTTCAGCGATTGGGGTTTCAGCCTTCGCTGAGGCCTCTAATGTACGGGATAGGGTTGTGCGGTCCTTGGTAGCACAAGAATAATATAGGTAATTATTGAGACCCTTATAGTATCCCCCAGAAAGCCCCATCTTGAACTTCAATCCCCGTCTCATACCACAGACTGGCTGCTTGCATTACAAAAAATCCCGAAACCCAGCCCGGAGAGGGTCTCCTCTTGTCGACTGGTCTCAAAAACTTCTGGAATCGCGCCGTTCGGGGCCCGGGTCCTTCTTATCAGACCACCGTAATCTTTTGGGCGCCCCAAACAGCAAAAAGGGTTTAGGGGTTAGGGTTTAGGGGTTGGTTTGGGGGTTTAGGATTTTGGGGTTTAGGGGTTTAGCGTTTAAGCTTTCGGACCCTGCTTCAAGGATCAGCGGGCTCAGTAAAAAAGGTAAGGCATAGAGGCATAAGTAGGAGTACACATAACTCGACTTACATATGGGTAGTTCTAAAAAAATGAGGGTCACTTTTCAGGGTGCTTTTTAATAAGGCTGCCGTACTATATTGGGGACCTGACAAAAGGACCCGAATTTAGAGACTGGCCATATAACCAAGCTGGTAAGTCCCGATGCTCTATATGTGTAGCTCTATACATGAGGGTCCCTCTTGAGGTCCCCACAATAGTACGGCACAGTGCTACAAAGGGCCCTAAACGGGACCCTAGAACGACCCTTTTGAGGGAACCTTAAGGCACCCCGTTTTAAAACCCCATGATAGAACCCTTAAAGGAACCCTATAGAACCCTTAAAGGGACCCTAGCTTAGAGAAACCTTGGAGGAATTCCTATTGTAGAACCCTTAAAGAAACCCGATTATAGAACCCTTAAATTAAAGGAACCCTCTTTTAGAACCTTGAACGGGACACTAACTTAGAGAATCCTTACAGGAATTCTATTATAAAACCTTTAAATGGACGCTAACTTAGAGAACCCTTAAGGGGACCCAACTTCGAGACCCCTATAGAACCCTTGAAAGGACCCTAACTTAAAGGAACCCTATAGAACCCTGAAAGGGCCAGAACAGGGGGCCGCTCCAACTTCACCCGTCCACAGTCCAGCTTCAACTTGCCCGCCTGGAGCATGGCAGTGAACCTTGCCCCGGGCTGGGGCTGGAACTTGACAATGACGAACATGTCCTGGAGGCCAACCTTCTTGTAGGCGTTGCCCGACGATGTGGACTCAGGGCCGGGCGCAGCGTCGCTTAGGCTGAATCCCAAGCGCCTTGCCGAAAATCGGGCGCGCACCTGGCCACCAAGGAGAGCTTCTCAGATGTCCACTTTCCTACTCCCCCCCGCCCCCGCCTTAATGGCAGCCAAGGGCGTCGGGGACCACGTCCATGCATTGACGCTCACAGCCCTAACTTACAGAAACCTTAAAGGGACCCTAACTTCGCGAACCCTATAGAACCCTTAAAGAGACCCTAACTGAAAGGAACCCTACCAGGGACCGAATCATAAAACCATTAAAATAAAGCTAACTTAGAGAGCCCATAAAGAGACGCCAACTCAAAGAGAACCCATACCAGGTTCCCGAGTAGCCCCGTAATAATAAGGGCACCCTGTTTAGGGCTGATAGGGTTTAGGGTTTAGGGTTTAGGGTTTTCCCTCCTTTTCGGTCTTAATAAGGGGGCCCAAAACGAAAAAAGGGCAAAAGGGCACTACTCGGGAACCCCACTCTTAAAGTCCATGATAGAACCGTTCAAGGAACCCTATAGAACCCTTGAAGGGACCCTAACTTAGAGAACCCATGAAGAGATGCTAACCTCTAGAGACCCCACAAACCCTAAACCCTAAAAACCCTAAAAACCCTAAAAACCCTAAAAACCCTACAAACCACAAAAACCCGAAACCCTTAACCCGAAACCCTAACTTATAGAGAGCCCATTAACTTCGACAATGGCCTTTGTAAGGGACTGCCAAGATGCTCCATGCGGCGCGTGACCGGGCTGAGCCAGGTATCCTGGGTAAAAGGTGGGGTTACTTGTTCATGGTTGGGGTAGTATTAAAAATTTAAATTTATATTCCTTATTGGGTTTAAGTACCCTTAAACATGTAAAATGTTACCCAACTATGACAAAGGTTCTGGTTTGGGGCTTTTAAGGTCTCTAGGGGTTTTTAGGGTCTTTAGGGACTTTAAGGGGTTTTTAGGGTTTTTAGGGTTTAGGGCTTAGGGTTTTTAATGGTTTTTTAGAGTGTTTTAGGGTTTTTAGGCTTTAGGGGTTTTAGGGTTTTTCAAGTTTTTAGAGTTTTAGGGTGTTTAGGATCTTTAGGGTTTAGGGCGCTTTTCAGGCTTTTCAGGGCTTTTAGGGGTTTTAGGGCTTTTAGTGCTTTCAGGGCTTTTAGGGTTTAGGGCTCCCTCTACCCTAAACCCAGAGCCCTGAACCCCTAAGAGATGTAGGATTCCTTCAGTTCGGGGCCAGATACCGCTGCAAGTGGGGCCAGGTAGGGCAAATGCAGGCCACATCGCACCCTTCCAGTCCGTATAAGCCCTGTATGACAGCATCTAATACAATGTACACACTGTTGCGGTCTTAATAATTAGAATAGGGTTTTGGGATACTATAATTATAACAAGGAACCCCCCCATCGAAATAGTATTGGTAATTATTTAGGCGCCTGTCATTACCCCCAAAATCCTCATAATCCCTAGACCCTAGACCCTAAACCCCTAGACCCTAAACCCTAAACCCTGAACCCTAAACCCTGAACCCTAAACCCCCAGAATCCTCATAAACCCTAAACCCTAAACCCTAGACCCTAAACCCTAAACCCTAAATCCTAAACCCTAAACCCTATCATAAACCCATCTTCTAAGTATGACCAAAGCCGCACTCTGGCGACCGGAGAGGTTTGGATCGAACACGCCGTGATCCTCCGGCTTTGACCTGGGATCGGATACCGACGGGCTTGGGCTTAAGGGGTTTAGGGGTGTAGGGTTTAGGGTTTAGGGGTTTGGGGGTTTAGGGGTTTAGGGTTTAGGGTTTAGGGGTTTAGGGGTTTAGGGGTTTAGGGTTTAGGGTTTAGGGGTTTGGGAATTGAGGCTC